TTGGAAGTGGTTATTTGGAACCAATGCATATTGGAGAAAAGCAAGAATTCAGGGTGATGACGGTTTTTCTTGGGCAGAGTTGCAGTAGTAGATTTCTTTCAGGAGATGCAATGTATATCTTGTCCCTATGGGGGCCTGTAATTGATTATTTTTTCCTGTAGGGGACTCTTCTGTCAGGGTCGGTAATTTACAACTCTTCCTGTAATTGGTGTCAAGAGGTAGGGTTCCCCCCTTCTAGCCTCTCCACACCACTTTAGTGAGGTTTCCTTTATTGATCTTCACAGTCCAGACCTCAGGCGGAGTCTGAGAGAGAGTATCAAGCTCAGCCCTAGAATAAGCAAGCTGTGTGACCCTAGGAAGTGACTTCCCTCCCTGAACCTCAGTTTTCTCATCTTCAGAGTGGAGACACCGATATCTATTGTAAAGAGCTATGATAACTAACTGAGCCAATTTGCTATTGTGCATCTAGGAGGTGATCAACAAACGTCAGCTCTTCTGATTATTTCCATCCCCTCAACACACCAACCGCAGGGAGCCTCAGACTTGTTCTGCCTCCACCTGGCAGCCCTGCCCTCCAGAACTCCAGATCAGCTGACCTCCCAGAGAGTAGGGAGAAGGCCACTGGTCTGACAGCTATGGACAAACAAACCTTTAGCATATTTTTCAAGGGATGTGGCTTTTACAACATTGCCAAGTGTCCAACAGACATTGTCCCATATATTCTCCCATGGATTCTGTGAGGGGTATGCTTCATTGCCATTTGTCTTCAGGTAGGTCAACAGCCTCAGGGGCTACCTTCACACATGCTGAGACTGGGCCCTTACACACCACAAAAAGCCCAGCTTGTGCCTTTTGTGCACATGAGACTCTCAAGGCTCAGAGAACCTGAAGTCATTTTTTAGATATTCTCTTTCCCTTGCTGGCTTTAAGGAAGCAAGTGGCCGGGTTGGGAAGGCCCACATGGCTAGAAACTGAGGATGGCCAACAAGCACACAAGCTTGAAAGAGGATCCTTCTCCAGTTGAGCCCTTAAATGGGACTCAGTCCCAGTTAGCACTAGAATTGTAGCCTGGTGAAACCTTGAAGCAGAGAACCCAGCTAAGCTGTGCCCTATCCTGACCTGCAATTACTGTGAGACAGTAAACATGTGTTTCAATCTGCTAAGTTTGTAGTTGTTGTTATGCAGTAATAGGCAACAAATCCAATAGCTAGAGGCATACCATTGGATTTTTTCTTGCAAACTTGCAAAGGGAGCCGCAGTGGAGCAAAGCATTCTGAGAGCATGGCTTGCCCGGAAGTTCATGCCATCTGTGCCGAGACACACCCTTGCAATAAAATTCAATGTGTTTGAATTGCCTTGAGGCTGCCAGTTGTGTCCCTGCACTGCAGAAGCTGGGGTACAGGAAGGGGGAATGATGAAACCAGTTGGGGAAACTGGACCACCCACGGGTCATGCCACCTAAGGTCCACCTCCCTCATTTGTATCCCAACGGGAGGCAAGGAAGAGCTCTCAGGAGATCTCGGAAGAGAGGGACCCAAACCTAGGTCCCCACTAACATCCATAATCACCCAAATTAGACAGATAGTACTTCCTGCCCACCCAGAGATATGAGGCTCCCCAGCTGTGCAGACTGGGCCTCAGAAGTCCTGGCTCCAGAGGTTCTAGCAAATCTAGACTCCACAGCTTCACACCCAGCAGAGGGATGGATGTGGGAGCATGGCATGGCCACATCTGCTCAGGGAGGAAGAGCATACAGCCTGGGCTTCACTAAGCCAGGCTTCCCTGGCCTGCCCCATATCTGTCCCACATCCATTCACACAGGGAATTCTTAAAGGAGCCTTGCTCTGTGTTGGTGGGCAAAACTGTTCTTCACATTGTGGGATGATGCATGGCCAAGGCCAGCAGTGGGCGTCATGTGGAGGTCAGAGGATGTTATGTAGTCAATGAGACAAGAAGACAGGAGGGGTGACAAAGGGTTCAATCAGTGCTTCCCAGACCTTAGAGGCCAAAATTCCCCTGGGGAGTTTCCTGGGCTTCACCCACAGAGAGTCTGATTCAGAAGGTCTGGGGTGGGGCCTGGAAGAACTGCATTTCTCTCAGGTTCCCAAGGGATGCTGACCCGGGAACTCTAGGGACCACACTTCCAGTAGCAAGGGGCTGAAGGATGAATGAATGATGGATGGATGGGTGGATGGGCGAATGGGACTCAGTAGAGCCTATCACCTCTGTAGAAGTTCAGGCATGTCTTGGATGGGATAGAAATAGTACATGCAACACACATACACATGACCACACACATGCACATGTGCACAGAGACACATATACAAAGCCTTTCATCCAGACTCACAGAAATATATAGAGACACACAGACACATGGACACAAAGACATGCAAGCACAGAGGCACAGAAATATGAATGCTATACACTAACACACACAGAGACCTGTAGGTACAGACATATGCACAAATGTATTATACAGGGTTCCCCAGAGAAACAGAACAAATAGGGTGTGTGGTTTTTTCGGGGGGGGGGGGGTGTGTGTTTTTTGTGTCCATGTGTGTAAAGAGATTTATTAAAAGAAATTGGCTTACATGATAATGGAGGCTGAGAAATCCAGACCCAAGAAAGCTGATATTACAAGTTCCAGTCAAAATCTTAGTGCTTAAAGAAGGAGAAGAAGACTAATGCCCCAGGTTGAAGGCAGTCACACAAATAGAAAATTCTTCCTCAGCCTTTTATCTACTCAAGACTTCAACTGATTTGACAAGGCCCACCACATTGCAGAGGGCCATCTGCTGTACTCAGTCTACCGACTCAAATGCTTACTGCACCCTCACAGGAACACCCAGAAATGTTTAACCAAATACCTGGGCACCCTATGACCTGGTCAAGTTGACACATAAAATTAACCATCACAACATACATATACAAACACACACAGATTTACACATGTATGCACTATGCACATAGGCACATACACACTCTCCTTTTGTACACAATCAGAAAAACACACCTGTGTACATTCATATGCAAACATATACAAAGACTGAAACAGACTCGTAGACACACACACACATACACACAGAGTACAGACACAGACATACACATTTACACATGTAACACACGCACACATACACATGAACACTTTTCCCCAGAGAACCCTGAAATAATGCTGTTGTAAAACAGCTCCTCCCTGATGTGGCACTTAGTGACATCACAGGGTCTCTTTGTTCCTTGCCTTGAACCACCAGCCTGGGGGTGGTGATGGTGATCCACATTCACAGATGAAAGGGTTGAGCCCCAGAAAAGATGCAGTAAATGAGGCAAGTGTCAAAACTGCTCTGATCTTCTCCCAGTGCTTCTGAAAGGGAGAATAACCCACAACACTACCAATAAGTAGTAATGGTAACCTGTCACCTGAGTTGGGCACAGACACCAATTCCATAACACCCACCTCTCCTATAGCTCAGCCCCCTGCTGAGGATGAATACCAAACAGGGCACACATGATCAGGGCACAGAGCCTGGCAAGGAGACACCGCCTTGGAGCCCTTGTGTCATGGCCACCGACAGCCATAGGGTGAGCATCCAGGACCGACAGAGCAGACCCAGCAGAATGTGGGGGCCCTTGTTGAATGCCACCATCTACCATCTATACACTGTGCCAAATGAGCTTTGCTAATAACAGTCATTACAACAAATCTGGATAGCCAGGAACCCAGGAGGCCCCAAGAGTTGACGTGCCTTGTCTGATCTCCTCCTAAAAGTCTGTATGACCCAGCAAGAGCCATCCAGGAAGGCTCAGGCATCTCCTTCCTCCTCGTAGAGTAGTCCTGAAGTCTAGGGGGGTGTGCAAACCCTGAGGCTAAGACCATACAATGTGCTCTAGCCCTGAGGCTAAGACCATACAATGTGCTCTAGCCCAGCCTTGAGCATTTACACTGAGGAAGTCCCCAAACCCTCACCACAATCATCAGGGCACGGAAAGGCTGTTCCTCACCAAAGGTCTCCACGTGATAAGAGGCAGAGTTGAATTCAAACAAATTCAGGCCATGTGGCTGCAGAGCTCCCACTCTAACCACTGTGCGGGGAATGTAAAGGGAAACCTCTGGGTCAGATTCTGTTCTTCCTTCTTCTTTGCCAGTGTGGAGCCAAAGTTGGGAAGTGATCACACCCTTAACCAGCAAACACCTCCGTCTGCCAATTTCCAGATGCAGTAATTACCCAAAGGGAGCATGTTTCCTGGCGATGCTCATTCTCTGAAACTGTAGTCTGCGCCCCATCTGTGAGAAGCCCACTCACACCAACAGGGTAGTCTCTGCAAGGGGCCACTCAGAGCGCTGGAAGCATGGGCCTGAGAAGTGTCTTCTTTGGAGAAGGATACTCAGATGATTCTGCTTCTGAAAATCTGTTACTTTTTTTTAAAGTTTATTTATTTATTTTGTGGCGCGAGAAAGAGATCACAAGTCGAGGAGGGGCAGAGAGAGGGGGAGAGAGTGAGAGAGAGACAGAGACAGAGACAGAGACAGAGAATCCCAAACAGGCTCCGCACTGTAAGTGCAGAGCCCAGTGTGGGACTCCAACTCAGGAACGGTGAGATCACGACCTGAGCCAAAGTCCACCCCTTAAACAACGCAGCCACCCTCAGGCGCCCCTTCCCATTATTTTTTTTTAATGCGTTGTCCCTTCCATGTATGTTCTGAAGATAGAAAAATCACAAAGGTTCTGTTCAGCCTCTCATTTATCTTCCTCCTCCTCTTGCAAATAATCGCTGTTTGGAAACTTTTATAAAGGAAGCGGTTGACTCGGTAGCCCATAGATGTGGAGGTGAGGAGTTTCTGGGCAAAATGATTCAGCAAGAAACCACCACCGCCCCCCGCCGCCCCAGCCGGAGTCAGGCAGCCCCCACCCCAGCCAGGGGGCGGTTTGCAGGGCGGGGCACCGCCCTTGCTCTCCGACCCTGCAACCCGGCTCCCCCATTGTGCACCGCCCTCTGCTCAGGCAGCCATGCGGCGAGCTGGGGCGCTGCTCGCCCTCTGCGGCCTCATCTGGAGCACCACCGGACGCCCTTCGCGAGGTAAGGGCGGGTGTCCCCTGGGCTGCTTCGTGTCAGGACTCTGGGGCCCTGGTCGTTCCCCGTGGCGAGGTCTCGAAATTGCCCGACCGGGACGCGCTAGGACCTTCCAGCTCAGGTGCCCAAGGCACGTTGCTGGCTTCCCAGCCCCAGGGGCCTGCCTGAGTGGGGGCGGGGGCAGGGATGCGTCCTGTGTTTTCCGCCTCGGGAGACCCGGGACTGACACCGTTCGCCCAAGGGAAGTCCTCCTGTGGCCCCTCCACGGGGACCTAGCCCCAGGATGTCCCTGATTAGGCAGTTTCTACCTGATGTCTGCCCTTCCTGCTGCTGTCCTTCGACTTGGCTCCAGGAAGCCTAAAGCTCAGACACTTCCTGCCAAGGCCAGCTCTGGGGGAGAAGGGGTGGGAGGGAGTCGCTGCTGTACTTCTGTCAGCTGAGGCAGGAGATTGGGTGACTTGCCCAAGTTACACAGCCAGTGAGCACCTGTCCTCACGAGAGCACAGAGGAGCAGGCGATGCCCTCCCGTCACTGGAATCATAGGCCAGGGTTGCTGGTGGAGACGTAGAGGGCCCCCACCACACCGCCTTTAACTTCTCAGATGGTGGAGGCCTCACATGCCCTCATGGTGACACTGCCTCTGGCCTCTGGCCTGTCTCAGGTGGGTGCTGCACTTGGGGACATCAGGGACAGGACACTGCCTCCTCTTTCTCCCCAACCCTCCTTCTTAGCTCTCATGGTTGAGACCCCTTCTCCCCAGGGTACCACTGTCTTCCTCTGCCCCCTAATTAGTGCCCATCCCAGGGGTAAGTCAGGAGAGAGGCTGGATGTTCTGAACAGAGCAACACACTTCTCAAAACCTTACTGAAGGGTCTGCTGGAGAGATGTGGAGCCTGCTGCCTTAACTATCCTGGGATTTAATTATTCACATTCATTGTCCACTGTTTTTACCAAGTTCCTTCTGCTTGTTTCCTCATTGCGCAAAGCAGGGGTGGGAACAGGGTTGCATGGGGAATCCAGAGACAGGCAGCACTGGCTGACTAGTCGTGGCCTCTTGCTGGCAGGTGCTCCGTCTGCTGCTGCTTACTGCTGGACCAAACCCTCTCCAATCCATACCCACACCAGAGCCATCTGCCCCCTTGGGAGGTGGGGGGGATGGGCTCTCCCACAACAGTAGCCCTCCCCTGTGAGACCTGCTCTCTGCCACTAAACAGCAGCTGGAAAGTAGAGAGCCTACACTTACATGCAGAGAGACTTGGGGCACCACAGGCTCCCCAAACCTACTAGCTGTGGAACTTGCAGCCTCCCTAAGCCTCAGTGTCACCATCTATGAGATGGGTAAATAACTGCATCACCTTGGAGAGGCCTGACTGTGGTGGCCCATGGAAAGCGCTCTCACTGGCTCTGGGGTGCTTGGGAGCCACCCACCCACATCCCTGCTCTGAGTCTCTGCCATGTCTCTGCCGTGCTGGTGGCCTCCCCAACCCCTGTCTCTCTGATGTACTCCCTTCTGGTTCTTCCTTCATTTGCCAGATGAAGGCCCAGCAAGGACCTCAGAAAGGGGCTTGGAGGCCTGTCTAGTGGAAGGACAGAGACAGGAACTCAGCCCAACCCTGATTCTGCCCCCATGGCTCCGAAAAGACTTTTCCCTTCCCTTCTCCGAGAACAGATTCCAGAGCCTTCCCATGGGGGAGTGGGGTGAGACAGGGCCCCCAATGATGGTGCCATCTAGCATATGACCTCCCCACACCTAGGCACTAAACTGCACTGACCTAAATGCAGAGGCCCATTGCAGCTTCTCTCACTGAGCCCTTACGGACTTAGGAAATTGCTGCATCACTGTCCGTAGCCCACCTGTTATGTCTCCTGTGAAGCTCCACTGGGCTGCCATGTCATACTTTGTCTCCCTCCCCTGCCCCTAGCCAAGCTTGCAGTGGCCCATTACAGGGCTGCCTGAACAGAGGCCCCGGAGACCAACAGCCACCACTCTTTCCACCTGTAAGATGACATCAGTCCTCATTACCGGTAGCAAGGGCTAGGTTCACTTGCCACATCCAGATACCACCAGCAGCAGAGGGGGGGGGGGGGAGTCCACAATCCCCTGCATCTTGGGGAGGGGCCCTGGGAAGTGATATAGGCTGCATCTGGCCCCATGGGGGGGTCACCTATTTACCTTCAGAGACCCCTGCTGTTGCCATATTGCATATTTGATATTTGATAATCATTACAATATTGCATGTCATTTGTCCCTAGAGCTTCATGTGTACTGTCTCCTGTCTTCTCATCACTGCTCTGTGAGGCCAGTGCCATTAACATCCCTATTTTACAGAGAAGGATACAGAGGCTTAGAGAGGCAGAGCTGGGATTCAAACTCTGAGCATGCTTCAGTGGGTTAAATTCAGGACTAACCAGCATCCTATTTGTGCCAGGAGGACACATGTGGCCTCAAAATGATGGGTTCATCCTTACTGAGAGCCCTCAGAACACAGCTGGGTGGGTCCAACCCCATGGAATTCATGGCAGTGACCCAGACTTACTAAATTTTGGTGTCTTATGAGAAGAGCACAGGGATATGGGGCTCAGGGTGACATCTTCCGGTGGGCAGAGTGGACCCCAGCACCCATGAGCCTGACATTCACCACTTACCACCCCAGTTCTTAGGCACAGCCTTCAAGACTGAGCTTGGACGTCTGGGTGGCTCAGTCGGTTAAGTGTCTGACTTCAGTTCAGGTCATGATCTCACTGCTTGTGAGTTTGAGTCCTGCATCAGGCTCTGTGCTGACAGCTCAGAAGCTGCTGCTCTGCAGCTGCTCAGCCTGCCACAATGGATCTCCCGCTATCCTCTTCTATAAACCAGCCCTCGTCTTCATTCAACACCCAGAGGAGTCTAGAAATCTCTCCCTCTGATCAGAATGGGAGGCAGGCAGGGCTTCAAGGAAATGTTCTGTTCCTCGCTTAAAAATGTAACCTTCCATATAAATCCCAAATGATTCCTACTCCAACATCCTGTCCTGTTCTCTATCTGCCTCCACACCTTTTCCTTCAGAGGTGTGACCCTAACCCCTTGCCTAGTCTCTGAGTCATTTTCTTCAAGACCAACTACAGTTATTCCTCTCTCAAAAGCAGGAAGGGTCCCTTTTGGGGCATCCTGCTTCTGGGGCTGCTCTGGCAGAGCCTGCATGCCCTCCTTCTGTACTTGGCCACCCTGGCCAAGCCCCACGAAGGGACATCTGCCCTCCTCCATCCTCACTGTTCCCACAAGCTTCATACCCTTCTGGGCATGCCCCCACTTACTCCTCAGCTGGCATCAGAGCCACTCAGGCTGTGATGCAGGCTCCGGGACTGCGCTCCCTGGGGAAGGCCTGCCTGCTTGGGCAGGGGTAGCACTCTCTGCTGGGGGGTTCAATTGTCTGAAGCATGGATCAGCCTTTACTTGCTGCCCCCCAGCCTCCAGCTGCCCTGCAGTCCTGTCTCAGCACAGCCCTGTCCTCTTCACCACGGTCACCTCCACAGCTTTCTCAGTGGCCTCCCACCTGCGAGCCCCCTTCCCTAGCACTCTCTTCTTGCCCAGAGTCAGCTTCCTGGGAGCCTCCTGGCTTGCGCATCTCCCCTCCCAGCCTCTCCCGCAGGACTGTGGGCTCCCCAGGCTCTGAGTCATTTGGCATTGCCTGTAGCATAGCACCTACAAGAAATACTTCCTGAGTGAGAAAAAAAAAAGGTTGGTCTTTATAATTAGTTGAACCTGGTTTAAACCTACTCTGCACTGGGTGGAATGGGGACACAAGCTGCCCTCAGTTGTGACAAGAACAGAACACCTCTGGCTCTCCTGATCCCCAAACTTCAGCTGTGCAGCACACACCTAGATGCCCCATCCCTCATGACAGCCCAGGGCCCCCTTAGTGTGGGAGGGGCTGACCCCTGGCCCAGGCCACCCAGGCTACCCTGTCATCTCTTGCTCAGAAATCACATGGTGGTTTCTGTTCTTCCGTGAAGGACCACTGCCTCTTTGGGAAGTTGATTCTCCATGAAAAGCCTTTCTCTGTTGATTTCTCTTTAAGGATCCTAAATATAGATTTGACTTTCCAACTTCTGTTTTTTAATTAAAAACTGTTTAGACAACTGTGCTGATGAAGCTTTACTGACTCGAAGCCTACATTTTAGGAAAACATGTGGTTAAATAAAAATAACCCAACTTCAGTGTTTTCCCTAAACTTTTTGTAACATTACTGAAATCGCTTAGGAACTAACATCACATGTTTGAACAGGACACTTATCTGAGGTTGGACCGCACCTATTTTCACTTCATTTTTTAATCCTGTTCAATTCAAGGAAAATTAAATACATTTTATTTTAAAAACCATTGGCAGTTTTTAAAGGTTACCACAGAACTCACAGACCCACACCTTCTCTGCCCAGTGCCCGTGCTCTTTCCACTGTACTACACACAGGGGAGGGGAGACCAGCCAGCCAGCACCCACTCCCCATCCCACCCGTCCTGGTTCTCACACTCATGTACACAAGGAGGTGTACAGCGCACAAGGCGCCATTCTGCTCAGCAGTTCCTTGGCCCAGCCAGCCCACTGGCCCTATCTAACCCCTACCCCCAAACAAGGTAACAGGCATTTCCCTCAGCCCCCCTCTGTCAGTCCCCATGAGTTACTTCTAATTTGTTTCTTATATTCTGTATTTTTCAAATGTCCCACCAAAAATAGGTAAGCTTATAATCAGAAAAAGCGATAAATGTAATTTGTACAAAGCAAAAATAGAAGTCATTGATCCACAGCAAGGGGGGTGGGGTCCTCTAATCTCTGAGGGAAGGAATACACTAGAGCTTCAATCCTTCTGCCAAGGTGGCTTCTTTCTTTCTCGCCATCTAGACTACATTGATGAGCAGAAATCAAGCTATCAAAATGTTTTTTTGTTTAAACTAAAAATCATGCTGTACTTCCTGTGGTCAACAGGCACAGGTGCTGGAGGAGCAGCCCTGGGCCAGGCCCCTCCCTCCTCACATTAGCATGCATGTGTGCAGGGGCCAGGAGGCCCCCCCAGTACCACCACATGAGTCACAACCACGTGGGCAGCCTGGGGAAACACAGGTTCCAAGGTCTGACCCAGCCTGACCAGCCCAGCTGCTGGCGCCCAAGGATCACAAGTAGTTTTCCTAGTTTCCATCTTTGGAGACTTTAATCGAAGAGTGTCCTGTGAGGGCTGGATTCCTGCAAAGGAGAATCCCACCGCTTGTAGGGAAAAAAGCTACGAGGGAAACTGAGGCCAGCAGATGGCCATAACCCTGTGTTGGGAAGGACAGCAGCAGTATGCTGTTTTCACGGGGGACAGAGGGCCAGGTCCTTGGGGCTGCTAAAGCTTAGGGAGCCTTGCAAAGGAATCATGAGCTTACTTTTGATGTTTCGCCTTTGGGCCGAAGGAACCAGCTGGGGAAGACCCATTTGCCAGGCGGGGTCCTGCTTGATCAGGCAGTGCTGGCCCTCCCTTCCCAGACAGCGGGACGCCCAGGGCCACAGAACACACAGACCCACATCTTCTCTGCCCAGTGACTGTGCTCCTTCCACTGTACTACACACAGCGGAAGGGAGACCAGCCAGTCAGCACCCACTCCCCATCCCACCCGTTCTGGTTCTCACACTTGGTGGGGGTCTCATGTACACAAGGAGGTATACAGCGCACAAGGCGCCATTCTGCTCAGCAGTTCCTTGGCCCAGCCAGCCCACTGGCCCTATCTAACCCCTACCCCCAAACAAGGTAACAGGCATTTCCCTCAGTCCCCTTCTGTCAGTCCCCATGAGTCGGGGACTCATTGTCGCCAGTGGAACATCCCAGCTTCTATTAAAGCTCCCATTCTAGAATATAGCTCCCAGAGCTTCTATTAAAGTTCTGTTGAATTCACACTGCTGCTTACTCCCCTAACGTTGAGATTTCTTGACAACCCAGGGAACCAGCAAGTATATTGACTCCCTGAAAGCCTGAATGCCTTGTCATCATTATCCTCCTCGACCCAAATACCCTTGGATGTGTCTGACCTGAGGCAGACTTTGTCTCTCAGGAGGGGACGGGGTGGGCTGGGGACAGGTCAGGACTAATCTCTCCACCTTACATATGCTCAGCCCGGAAGCCTGGTTAGTGCTGCCGTTACCTACACATCCCGAGTCTCGACTTCCTGCTGTCTCGGCACCTCTGCCTAATGCTAAACTCAGCCTCCCAATTGGACACAGCTGCCTGCACCACAGTGCCCCCCCAAGGTCACAGCAGAGGGAAGTGAAATCTCAGGGCAGCACAGGACACCATGTCCCTCCCTATCTGTACCCACAGCCACAACCACGTGTAGCTACTGAGCACCTGACATGTGACCATGCTACTGAGGAGCTGAATGTCACACTCTGCTTAATTTAGTTAATGACATAAAACTGCTCAGCTCAGGATCATCTCTGGCATGCTAATATTCAGGGAAACCTGGGAGAAAGTCTTAGTAAAGCAATTTACAAATATAAAACCCTCTTTCCCATTCTCCCTCCCACCAGTTTAGATTTCCTACCCCAAAACTTTTGACTTTTTGTTATTTTAATACACCAGTTGTCTACTGTAGAAAACTGACTAATATTGTAGAAAAATTGACAATCACAGAGAAACCTAAATTCACCATAAAATGAGCCACCAACCAGAAAAGTCCACCATTGGCTTGTTGTGATACAGAGCCCGTGAGGCTTTTTTTTTTTTTTTTTTTTTAGTTTATTTATTTATTTAGACAGAGCATGAGCAGGGAAGGGGCAGAGATAGAGAGGGACAGAGGATCTAAAGCAGGCTCCAGACTGTCAGCACAGAGACAGATGCAGGACTCGAACTCACAAAACTGTGAAATCATGACCTGAACCAAAATCAAGAATTGGATGCTCAACCGGCTCAGCCACCCAGGCACCCAATATATCCCTGTTTCCTTTATAATAAAGTCCAAAGTTTGTAACCCGAATTAGCACACACCCACACCTCACTTCTCAGCCCTTCTCCACATACCCTCCTCGCTTCGACCACTCTGGGGTCCTGGGCCCTCAGACACCTCTGCCCTCCTGGCCCACAGCTTGCCCCCGGCCTCTCTGTGCAGATGGCACAGCCTGATCCTGCATCTCCTCTGGACAGACCCCTGCACAGCTTCTGCCTTGCTTCACCTGCTGCTCTGGTGTTTGTCTTGCCTGTTTACTTACAGAATATGAGCTCCAGTGAACACAGGTTCTGCAGCCCCTGAGCCTGGAGGATGAGGGTTCCAGAAGGGCAAAGATATAAAATCAGGTCCTTCATCAGGGTGTGGCCTGGCTCTGCTTCTGTGGGAGCTGGAAGCAGAGGATGTGGAGAGCAAGGAAGAGGTGTGGGGGTCCCTAGTTCTGCCTGGCTTTGTCAGGCACTGGGACCCGGCTGCTGGGGGAGAAGCCCCTCATGTTGTTTATCCCATCTTTTATCCAAAGATGGGCCTCCCCAGAATAGGAAGAGCATGGAAGGATGAAAGCAAGCCATTCATCCCTCCCTCCACCATGCACCAGCTCTGCAGTGGAGCGGTCGGGGAGAGTCGCCCAGGCCTGAGCCCGGTCCTCACACTTGTATCCAGAACAGCATGGAAGGAGGCAGCATTTGAAGGGCACTGGGTCCTATGCTGCTGCCAGGAGCTGGGCCTGGTAGGGGGTGCCTCTGGGAGCTGGGGCCCCTGGGAAGGCCAACCCAGAGCCTGGAAGCTGGGCAGATTCCGACAAGAGTCACTGAGGCAGAGGGCAGTAGCGGTGTCACAAGTGAGAAAGCAGGAAGGGCCTTTGAGCACTTCCCCGTGGTCCACTTGTCGGGGACAAGCTGAGGAGCGGGGGCCACCTGGGGCTGCATCCTGCCCAGAGGCTCTGCCACCTGGAGACATGTTTGGGTTTTCTTTAACATGTTAGAAATGAACCTGGGTTCTGAAAGAGGCTGTGTGGGCAGGCTCTACATGTGACGGGACTACATTTTATTCATCACCAGACCACTCACTGCACGTGGTCCTCAGTTCTGAGTAGGCAGCAACTGTGGGGATGCATGATAAATGCACAGTGCGGTGTGGGGTGGCTGGTTGAGGGGGCAGGTGGACGGCTGGAGGCCACACTGGGAGTGGACAGGAGAACCAAGATACGAGGTGCAACACTGGGCCCGAGGGCTCTGCTAACAGTAATGTTCTTGTCTGGTTCTGTGCTTCTCTTTCAGATTTTTGTTCTCAGACCCTTAACTCAGATGTGAAACCAGGATTTCCTAAAACAATAAGCCCCAATGACCCAGCAGTCCTCAAAGCGGCCAGACACAGTGTTGAAAGGTTCAACAACTGCACAAATGACATATTCTTATTCAAGGAGTCCCACATCAGCAGAGCCCTGGTCCAGGTGAGGTCTGGGTCTCGCCACCAGCCATCAAGGACACCCCTAAGAGGCCAGGTTGCCGTGACTCCGGTCTTACCAGGGGCTGGCCCACCTAATGCCTGTCCATCTAGAACACAGGCCCAGGCAGGCCAGGAGGCTGACAGTAGCAGCCACTAACAACCCACGAGCAGTCAAAGCCACAGTCACCCAGGGCACAGCCGGAAGGCCCTGTGCCACCTCTTATGAAAGCACGGTGGAGCCATCAGGCTGTGGCCCACAGCACATTTGGAGCTGAACCAAGGAGGGCAGGGGCGGAACCGGGCAACTGGTGCTGGGCGTGCTGAAGGCTGCCGGGTAGGAGGAGGGGGTGGGTAATGGGGAGAAGCAGAAAGCCGCCTTGGTGGAAACAAAGTGAGGAGGTCATTGCCCTTGCAGAGTGCACACACTTGCACTGCCCCTCAGAGCCCCTGCCCTGCCTCGCCCCCACTGCAGCCCCAAAGGACATCTTGCCATTCTCCATCTGGGTCATGTTCTTTCACTCAGAGCTTTGCCAGAACCACTGCCCCATCTCCACATACAACCCCCAGGGAAAGCTGAAGTAGTCCTACTCTAACAGTTTTTACACATACTAATAATGGTTACCCCTGTGTGATAAGATTATTGGAAATTCTTTTTTTTTTTTTCATTTTTATTTTTTAATGTTTTATTTATTTTTGAGAGAGAGAGAGAGAGAGAGAGATAGCACGAGCAGGGGAGGGTCAGAGAGAGAGGGAGACACAGAATCTGAGGACAGGCTCCAGGCTCTGAGCTAGCTGTCAGCACAGAGCCTGATGAGGGGCTCGAATCCACGAACCGTGAGATCATGATCTGAGACAAAGCCGGACGTTCAACTGACTGCGCCACCCAGGTGCCCCTGGAAATTCTTATCATCTTTATACTTTTTGAAAATTGCAAACTTTTTATTTTTAATGTTTATTTTTGAGAAAGAGTGTGAGCAGGGGAGGAGCACAGAGACAGAGAGACAGAGAATCCCAAGCAGGCTCCATGTGAACAGCAAAGAGCTTGATGTGGGGCTTGAACTCCCAAACCATGAGATCATGATCTGAACCAAAGTTGGACACTCAACTGACTGAGCCACCCAGGTGCTCCAAAATTGCAAACTTCTTAAAGAGCAGCATATTTTTATGATCAGAAAGTATATTGTAGAAAGGCAGTCTGGTGTGGGGTGGGCTTTAAAAGCTGTGCCATGGAAACAGCCAAAGTGTCATCTCTGCAGGGACTCCACCTGAGGGGCTGTGGGATCTTCCCAAGCCCGGCTCTCACCTCCACAAGCTTGTGCTGCTTCTGCTGGTGCTCAAGGACAATGGGAGCCGGTGGATGGGAGGTTATCCCTAGGTGATGTTCGGGACTTTATTTCACCTGGTTCTTGATGAAGCTGAGGCTTTGTTGAGAGACCACAAACAAGGAGAATGAACCAGGTTGTTGCCACATGCAAGTGGAGAAACTGGGAAAAAAAATTAACCACCATTGGCATGCAGGGCAGGGACTAACCGGTAGGTCAGCACAGGCCGCAGGTGGGTGTTGGGTATGGAGGGGCATCACTTTACCTTCACAGGTGCAGGGCCTGTCCCTGCTGATGGAGAGCTCTGGGCAGGAAGGAAATGTCCTAGGACACAGACAGTCCTGCCTGGGGACTGAGAACTGATGCCATGAGCAGGAACAACATGAATGGGTAAGAAGGGAGGGCTCTGGGGTCCAGGCGGCAGCTTCCCTCCCAGAGCTCTCTCTTCCCTCCCAGTCCCAGACAGGCCTACATACCCTCAGCCCCTTTCCAGGGGGCATGTCCAAGCACCTCTCCTCCTTGTCTCCATGCCTTCTGCTGGTGTGGACCAAGTAACACTGACTGGGCCCATTTTCCCCTCAGATTGTGAAGGGCCTGAAGTACATGCTGGACATGGAGATTGGCAGAACTTCTTGTAAGAAGACCCAGCACCCTAGTCTAGACAACTGTGACTTCCAGACCAACCATACCTTACAACGGGTAAAACAAAGGGGTCTCGCCTCCTCACACTCACTCACTGCTGTCCTAGCCTCCACCCGCTCCCCAGGACTTTGCAAAACACCCCCTTCATCACCTCTCTGCCTGCAAGGTTCCAAATCTCACTCACAGACCTGGGAGAACACAGAGGGGAGATTCGCAAGACAGCAACTCAACTCCCCCACCCGACACTTCCTCCTCCCTGAGGGGCACAGCTCCTGAAAATACCATGGGCTTGGGGACAGGGGTGGTTAGAGCAAAAAGAGCTTTCAAACAATTCAGAAATTATATACACACATATACATGCAGGGAGAGAACAAATGTGGCAAAACTTAATTTGCAAATGAAAGTAAAAAGTATATATTCTTGAATCACTCTTTCAACTTCTCTGTAGATGTGAAATTCCTCAAAACAACTTGGGGCAGGGAGAGAGCTTAATAAGGAAAATGCATGCACACACAGGCATATGTGCATGTTAACAGCCCACAGGCAGCAGCGCCAGAACGTAACCTTTGTGGAGCATGTCGGGAGGGCAGCCTCTGCCACAGAAGGATTCTCAGTGTGCCCTTCTTTGTTTCAGACCTTCAGTTGCTACTCTGAAGTTTGGGTCATCCCCTGGCTCCAGAGATTCGAGGTGTCCGTTCTCCACTGTCAGTGACTTCCACCTCTCAACAGGACTGCACTTGTGCTGTTTACTGTGCTCAGTCACAGCCCTGCCCTGGCTGTCACAGACCCTCAGACCTTCTGTAATATCTCAGCAGTGAGAGAAGTGCCCATGGGTTCACTGCAGAGTAGCTGGGGTGGAAGAAAAAAGACACTGCCCATGGCAAGATTAAGTATTTTGCATTTTCTTCTAAACCTCATTTTACTGATGCTGTGCCCCTAGATCTGGGGTCTGGACATACAGGACTCAGTCCTCTGCTGGGAATTTTTCAGGTCTTGGACCCTTGAGCAATGCCCTCCCTGCTCTTGCACACTCAATTACCCTGTGGTCCCATGCTCACCAGTGAAAGCCCAGAGATCCATCCCTCTGACTAAATAACCATTACAGCACTGGGCAGGGGGCCCAATTCTGCTATTGAGCATCTTGACCTTTTGTAGATGAATAAAGTCATGAATAAATAGGAATAAAGAACTTACCATCTCAAAGCAATGGATGCTGCTTTACCTGTTAAAGGGACAGTCAGAAAGGTGATGTGAGTATTATGAGGGGACCCCCTCACTGAGTGGTCTAATGAATCTAGGTGACTTCCATAAAGCCCCTTGGAGGCTTTTCCAGCCACTCACTGCTAGCTAAAATATACTGAAGACCAAAGCAGCAATAAACAAGCCAGCCTGTGTCCATATCAAGAACTGGCAGGACAGACAGCACCCCATTTTGGAGGGCACTCACTCCCCAGATAGGCTTTCTTCTGACCAGGAGCCATACACCCAATTCTCTCTGCTGCCTCTGAGGCTCAGGATTCACAGCACCACCTGGGCAGGTAGGGTGAGGCAGAGTGCTTGGACCACCACACACAGCCCGTCAGAAGGGAGTCCAGATTAGGGATGGAGGTGCTGTGTTGGGGAGCCGGGGGACGGAGGGGACCACTGTGAGCTGGGAGCCACTGGGGGTCCTCATAAAATGGCTTGAGCTGGCGTTGGAAAGTGCAAGGCTGGGGCACGGATACACCCAGGAACTTGCAGACAGAGGCTTCACTCAGAGAAGACAGCTCCCCAGCCACCTTTTGTAAGCCTGGGTTCAAATGCAGAGCCTCTCACTTTGGACTTCTTCTCCAGGTCTCTTCAAACTACAGATTAGTGCAAAATACACACTGTTGCCTTAAAAAAAAAATACAGATATGATAATTCACAGGAAACAGAAAATCTACATTACATATGTATGACAGTTTAGTACATAGTCATAAACTTGATCAGTGTGAACAACCATAATGAATTACTCTTTGGCTTCTGTCAGTTGAGAGAACTACTTTAATCCAAATCCTTATTCATTTTTGCTGGCTTGCTGCCTTCTAGTCATTTAATTCAGGGACAGTGATGACACCTATGCCACAAGACATTTAATTTATTCGATGATTCTGAAGGCCATCCTTTCATAAAGATAAAGGAGTGCACCCAGCCCTTTTGATCCCATACATACATTAAAGAGGTGGCAGGAACACCGGGAGTCAGAGCTTCAGAGTCAGATGGGCCTTGGACACAGCAGAAGGAGCAAGAAGACGCAGCAAATGAAGGGAGGACCTCCTGCTAGCTCCCAGTCAGTCCTCATTTACATTTAAATACGGATCAGACCACAGAAGGCCAGGGCCTCTCCTGAAAATTATTACTAAGCCTCCAGCCCCGCTGGCCAGTGTGGTCTCACCTGGCCTCAAGGGCAGACATGAGAATATGCACATGACTGGGGTACAGCAGCCTCATAGTACCACTGCTCCAAGCTGAGCTGCACTTGAACTCCCCCTCTGCCCAGCCAGGAGCCAGGGCTGAACTTACCTCTGGGGACAGAGAAGGAAAGCCTCACATCTTAAACTCTCAGGTTTCAATACTAACCTATCCCCACAGTTTTCAAAACATCATTTGGGGCCAGGTATTTAAAATCTCTTCCTATAGGGTGCCTGAGGGCTCAGTCGGTTAAGTGTCTGACTTTGGCTCAGGTCATCATCTCACAGTTGGTGGGTTTGAGCCCTGTGTCGGGCTCTGTACTGACAGCTCAGAGCCTGAAGCCTGCTTCAGATTCTGTTTCCTTCTCTCTCTCTCTGCCCCTCCCCTATCGCACTCTGTCTCTCAAAAATGAATAAAGGTTAAAAAATTTTTCTTAATAAATAAAATCTTTTCCTATAAAGTAAGCAAAGAGAAATCTTAGAACTAAACCAAACTAGCCACCATAGAAGCCAGTTGGCCACGTGGCCCCCAACCTCAGGTTTCTGCAAACCTTCTCTACTTAGGGAGCCTCAGGGCCCAAACTCCAGGTGGTAAGGGGCTCTTTATAATACAACTGCTGCTTTATCATTTCCAATCTGCATTATGTACTACACCTCATAGAAAACAATGCTTTAAATAACTCTTATACCAGCCATGATCACACCAGAAGGGAAGAGTCTGGATCAGTGAGCCAGTGTGAGGCTATTCTGATTATTGGAAGCCAAGAGCTGGCATACCTCTGTCCTCCATAGAGACATGTCTACCAATTATACTACCGCAGACGTTTTTGCTCCAGCTGCCCCTGAGCAGGCCCTTCGGGCACACTGCTTTTTCCATGAATTCACTTTGCCTCTTGTGAAAGACTTCTCTGCAGACCAGCCTGGGAAGGGACTACCAGAGAGCCATCTGGTAGGATTCAAACACCTACACAGAGATAGTATAACTTACCACAGGGAGCAGATGTCAGCCAGTGATGACCTGAAGTCTCATCTTGCCACCCCAATTTTACCTGCTTTTTTAAACTTAGAGCTTTACTCTGATTAGGAGGGAATGACTGACACAGAGGGAAGCTGTGACACCATCTAATGTTATTGTAACTGAGAAAATGTAAAGTTAAGTACCTGAGATTCTATGACATACCAGAATTAGGACTAAAGAGAAGAAATACTAATTGCTCAAGATCTCAAAACTGAGCAAAACCAGTCAAAATTCTAACAGTCTTGCCCTGAGTGTTCTAGAGCTTTCCCCAGCCATGCCTCCTCACTAGTTATATAGACTCTAAGGGATTCAGCTCTACTGGCCCTGCTCCAGGCGTGCAGACAGGTCCTGGCCATGATGGGTGCCCCCCAACTGCCCTGGGGGCCACCTGTGAAGCTTGAAACTATGATGATGCCAGGCCACTCCAGAAGACCAAGAACCCCAGAGGACTCTGATGTGCAACCAAAGTCCAACCCTTGGGGTGGGTGGTGACCACCAAAAGCCCAGGTCCTGGGAATGCCTTTCTGCGTCCTCATCTCCCAGCTTCCCCAGCAGATTCTACAATCAGAGCATGGGTCCTGACCCAGCAGTGTGCCAGCCCCACACTGACTTGGGGCAAATCACTCCCCACAGCCTCAGTTCCCCTATAAAATGAGGCCACATCTCTTTCCAACAGTAAAAGATTAGTGTATGTGAAAAGCCTTTTAAAAAAATTACCTATTTTGAGAGAGAACAATCATTCACTGGGGGGAGAGACAAAAACATGGAGAGACAGAATCCCAAGCAGGCACCATGCTGTCAGCACAGCACCCAACACAGGGCTAACCCCAACTCAGGAACCATGAGATCATGACCTGAGCCGAAATCAAGAGTTGTACACTTAACTGAGCCACCCAGGAGCCACTGTGAAAACACTTTCTAAACTACAGACCACTCTGCAAATGAATGTTGATGATAAAAATCTCAAAACAGGGCCTCTGTCCTATGAAAGCCAATAGCTGAATCCTGATGGAATTTTTGTAATAGATAATAAAGAAGCACACAATGAATGAATCACTTAATTTAATTTTAAAAGCATGTTAGTAATTCACATTAGAGCAAATCTACTTCATGTTTACAACAAAAGCATACCACAAATTTAAACCTAACAAGGCTATATTTTGTACCTCACCATGGCAAATTACCAGATAAAACACAGGAAATCACACTTTGAGACAGAAAATAAAAATCTGAGTCAAATTCAAGACTCCTTTGCTGAAAACCCTGAAAAGCAGCTTGCCAGATTCTTTGCATTGCTAAAAAGTAAGCACTGAAAGCAAAGCCCTCTGTTCTCAATCAAGAAGTCAACTTATATATGCTCCTCACATTTAAATTGCTTTTTATGGCAGAATGATCAGGCTTTACCTTATTCCTGTAGAGCTGATATATGGGGTACACCATTATCTATTATGAAATATTTAACAATCACTACTCAATTTTCTTTCCTATAAAGTAATATAAATAACATTAAGTCATTCAACTAATACATTCTGGGTTGCATTAACTGGACTGAAGCGAATCTCTGACCCTGTGCTACTACTGCGGCACATAAAGCCATCCCTGAACAGGCAACACAAGATGAGCCAACAACCAGATCCTGCCTCTTTCCCCTAAAATGAGGCCAGCCCAGCACATGGGAGGGGGGTGGCCACTGTCAGGAAAAGGAATGAAGGGGTTAGTGCCAGCCAGTGCAACACCACACAAATTGTTCAGGTTTTACCACAGCTATCAATCCTCTTTGGATTTTAATATCATTACCTATTGAAAACATTTCCTTTGTTAAATTATTGAAAACAATTCCAAAGACATGATCTCTTATGGATTCTCACAAACAGGACAGAAAGGAACAGATATTAGACCCATTTTGTAGGCTGGAAACAGGAACACAGTATCACATCAACTAGCCCAAGAATAAACCACAGCCAGGAGGCAATGGCTAGAGGTGGCTGCCCTGTTGGGAGGGTGGGGTGGGGACTTGAGCCAGCCAGATGGACTGTTTAACCCTAAACAAGGTCCTAGCCAAAATGACCCTCTTATTAGCTCTCAATGGAATCAAATTCCAGTCCCTATTAACATAATTTTATTAGAGGAAAAACTCCCAGGCAACACCATCAAAAAAGATTAATCAGCAGAAAAGTCAATTTAATTATCATTATTACATGGGTCCCCCTGACAAAATTAGGACCAGTGTATAGGCATACCTGTCAGGATATACAGCAACCTCAGGCTTGTGACACTCTAACAAATGAAACTAGCATGTGAACTATTCATCTGTGGGTCTAGAGGTAAGGAACAAAGGTGTGTAAACAGGACTTCCCTAAATTCTTTCCTGCAGTACCTAGCTGCTAGATCATTCCATCAACGTGATAGGTTGTTCACAGAGAAGAGCCCAGGGACTCCTGAGCTGCTGCTTCTATCCATTTACTTGGGTCCTTGCCTTTAAATGGTTATGGGGACTCAGGAGTCTTAAAAGCCTCTGGTTCAGAGTGGGGCTGAACCAGAGCAGGCTGGAGGGTGTGAGCTATGGAAAAGAACGCCCAGGATCAAGGTCCCAAGTCCCACACAACTCTACATCTAGAGTTAGAATATGGCTCTAAGGTTTTTGCTTACACAGCTCCACCCACTGGCCTCAACACATGTTTGCACTAAGCTCTCTTTGTTCCTCCCATGGCCCTCCCCCAAAGACAGGTATGACCCCATTTAATAGTAAAGAC